TTGGGGCCAGTTGCCCGGATCGGTTCTGGGTTACGTAGACCCGACCCATGGCCGGGTTCCGGGGGCGGTTCGTGCGGTCGAGCAACGGTGTAAAGTGGTCAAGTACAGGCGAACCCACCGTAGGTAGAACAAGAAGTTCTATAAACTTACGCAACAGTACCAGTAGTCTCAAAAAAACAAACACCCACTTTTTCTCTCTATAAGTATGTCTCCATGGCGTGTGCTCTCCAAACGCCCAAATACCACATTCCTCTCTCTCATGGCAGAGGCCATTCATCCAGAAACCCCTCACAAGCCCCTAGATATAGAGGCCCCTGCGGCTCCAAACGCTTACCACCACCATCCCCGACATAGACTACTTCCAGCGCTCCCAATGGCTCCGAGCTGCAGTCCTTGGCGCAAACGATGGCCTCGTCTCCACTGCCTCTCTCATGGCCGGTGTCGGTGCATTGAAAACTGACCCAAAGGCCATGCTTCTGTCAGGTCTTGCCGGCCTTGTCGCCGGAGCCTGCAGCATGGCCATCGGTGAGTTCGTCTCCGTATACTCGCAAGTCGACATAGAGGTGGCTCAGTTGGAGAGAGAAAGAGAGGGAGCAGAGGAAGAGAGAGAGGGCATGAGGCACCCAAGCCCTTCGCAGGCGGCACTGGCGTCTGCAGTAGCGTTTGCGTTGGGTGCAGCAGTCCCGATACTGGGGGCTGCGTTTGTGAGGCAGCCGGGGGTTAGGGTTGGGATGGTGGCAGTGGCGGCAACAGCAGCGATGGTGGGGTTTGGGGTGGCGGGGGCAGTGCTTGGGAAGACGCCAGTGGTGCGGTCGTGTGCAAGGGTGGTGGTGGGAGGATGGCTGGCCATGGTCGTCACCTATGGGTTAATGAGGGCCGTGGGGACTACTGGGTTTTAGGTATATGGTCTGTATTAGGTTGAGGCTCTAAATAACGAGCACTTTCAAATATGCTGTTTCGGTATTAGAAATCTTTACGATGACTTGTAAATTTATTTTCAGCTCTAATTTTAAAATCTAAATATTCAAAAATGGTGTAGATCGAGCATCTATGGTTATTTAAATAATTGAAAATTGACGATTTAGATAATACCTTACAATGTGTACTATTTTTAATACTTGAAATCCTTTTTTTTCCATATCCATAAATCTTGAGTTTAAGATTATTGAATTAAAGGTCTTTCAACATCGAAACAACATCTTCTTGTTAATTTTTTATGTGCACCTTAATTTAATTGTTTAGGATCTCGCCCTTTATATAAACTTTTTCCATCTTAGAATATGGTCCTTAGCATTTTCCTTTCACAAGAAATGCGAATTTACCAATTATTTAAAAGAAAAGAAAGAGAAATGCTTATTTACCTATATGGCTATATGTTGCATAATATCTATACGCAGATTAAAAGTATTTAATATTTATAGGTAGTTTGCCCAGCCCATGTAAGATAATCATGAAAATATGTAAACTAAGGGCGTTCATCGACCGTGTTTCAAAAAAAAAAAAGGCGATCATCTAGCTTGAATAAAATGTTGCGTGTAAAGACATCTAATGCCTTTTAAGTAAGGGGAAACTTTATATTATATAATGATTTATTATTATTGCCATTCGTAAGTGATAATCATTATACTTGCTTAAAGTGAAAATAAACAGTATTTTTGTCTATAAGCTCGCCACAATCTGAAATTTTTAGACAGTGGGGGGAATCGACTGCCATAGACATAATATGTCTGTGGCGGTCGATTTGTCACATTAAATTGCAACAAACCTATCATGTTTACTGTGAGGGTGAAAATACTATTCACTTCGCATATATGAGTTGGAAATTGTTTTTCATGTATATTGTTATATAATTTGTCTAATATAATCTTTACATTAGTGCAAACTGAGTTTGGTTAACCAAATTGTATATAAATTTATAAAGGGTGCAATTGGCATATGGATACATCCGTAGCTGTAGAGGTAAGGTACACATTCAAATTTTATCATGTATATAATTTTGATGTAAAATGTTTTTAGGATTATCTCAAAATCTATTTTTATATCTAATTATAAAATTTCAAAAATAGTTAAAATCAAGTAAATCTATAAATATATGAAAATCTTGAAAATGGATAGTGTAGATAATATGTTGTAAAACACACTATTTCTGAGACTCAAAATCTTTTTATTTTTTATGGTCATACATCTCGATGTCGAGATGATCAATCAAGTGGTTTTCAATATTAAAACTACCTTTTTCGATGGATTTTTTAGCTGCATCCGCAGTTCGACATTATAAGGTTGCATCCTTATATAAACTTTTTCCTTTTATAAATTTGATCCAAAATATCATTTTTCTGTCTTTTTCTCTACATGATATTGATCATCCAATGCTTCTTTATCATAGCACCATTTCCCATTTTTTAGAATTACTTGTGTAATGTATTCTCTCTTGCGGTTACACTAAGAACAATAATATGAACATTTGTCTTTCCGTATGTATATTTAATTTTGTTTCCTTCTCTCTCGTTAACACATGTAATAAATTACCATACAATACAAATCTTGAAACCTATAATTTATGCACTCATGGTATTAGAACAAGTAGATGCAAAAGCCTGCCTCACTTCCAACTTTAATCATGGCTTTTGTGCTTCACTCTTCATATAGTTGGGCCTATCTGAAATACTTCCCTACGTGCAAGATAACAACTCATCTCACACCATGGATAAAAAAGATCTAGGGTTTGAAAACCATGACTATTTTGATAACGGAATACATAATGTTTTCTCTTTAGTTTTATATATTTAAAATATATAAGGTTGACACCTTAAAATATAGAATTAAGGTGACATCTAAAATCATCTGAAAAAGGTTGTTTTGATGTTGGAAAAACATCTAATTGATCATCTCAACATCGAGATGTATGGATGTTGAGAAAAAAAAGGAAAAGAAAGAGATTTCAAGTCCTAAGAATAGTATATCTTGCAATACATTATCTGGACACCCATTTTTTAGATTTTCATGCATCTATAGATCTACTTGATTAAACTATTTTTGGAGTTTAATTTTAAAATTATAGATAAAAATAGATTTCCGTACTATCCTAAGAATTTTTAACACCAAAATTACATCTCGAGAAAAAAGTTTGGGGGCGCACCTTAATTTGATTGTTTAAAGTTGCAACCTTATGAAAACGTGTACATATCATCATCGTCAAAGGTCTTTCCTAACTAATTAGAGTCAGCTATATGAATTCGGGTGCGCCACTCTATTCTATCAAGGGTTATAACCTTTGTGAGGATACAAGTCCCCATATCTTTTCTCACTACCAACTATATTTTTTTAAACATACCCCTTGCTTTTTTTTAGCCTTCCACTTGTACTAACTCCCACCTTCTAACAGGTATTGTACTGGGTCTATGCTACACATAGCCAATCCACCTCAATCTACTCTCTATCATCTTATCGTCTATTGGTGCCACACCTAAATTTTTTCGAATGTATTCATTTCAAATTCTATCCCTTCTTGTCTTGTCATTCATTCATCTCAACATCCTCGTCTCTGCTACACTTATTGTATTGGTTTTTTTTTTTTACTTAACCAACATTCTGCCCCATAGAGCAAAACCGGTCTCGCAGCTATCTTATAGAACTTATCCTTCAGCTTCATTGGTATGCGGCGATCACATAAAATTCCAGTTGCACATCTCCACTTCGTTTACACAGCTCTAATTCTAAATGTGAAGTCTTCAGACACTACATCGACTAGTGAAAGATATGTACGATGGGGTACTAACTAGTTAACGAACAATTAATGGAGAGACGAGTGAGTTTTCAATGACAATAGGTCTACATCAATGGTCGACATTGAGCTCACACCTCTTTGTCTTAGTTACGACGACTTAACTAGATACCTACAACATGAGGCATAGATGATAAGGTTTTAATCAATGAGACCCAAAACGGTATCAACACAAAGTTAGAGCTTGGGAGGGATGCTCTAGAATCTAAAAGTTTTAAAATTAGTCAAACTAACATAGAGTATATGGAATGCAAGTTTACTAATAATAGGAGTAGAGACGAGGAAGTTGTTGAGATTGAAGGTCAGGAAATACCAAAAAGAATGCACTTTCAATCTTGGGTCGATAATCTAGGAAAATAGAGAGATTGAGAAAGATTTCACACACAGAATTAGATATGGGTGGGCGAAGTGGAGATATGCAACATGAATTTTTTGTGATCGCCGCATACCAATAAAGCTGAAGGGCAAGTTTTATAGGACAATTTTGAGACCAAATTAGCTCTATGCGACAGAATGTTGGGTGGTAAAAAAACAATATACCTATAGAATGAGTGTAGTAGAGATGAAGATGTTGAGATGGATGAGTGGCAAGACAAGAAATGATAGAATTCAAAATGAATACATTCAAAAAAATTTTAGGAGTGGCACCAATAGGTGATAAGATGAGAGATAATAGATTTAGGTGGGTTGACCATGTGTCATAGGTGATAAGATGAGGGATAATAGATTTAGGTGGGTTGACCATGTGTGACACAGACCCAATACAACAATTGTTAAGAGCTACGAGTTAGTTTTAGTGGAAGGCTAAAAAAAAACATGGGATAGGCCTAAAAAGACATGGTTAAAAGTAATAAGAAAATATGTGAGGGCTTATGGCCTCACTGAGGGTGTAACCTTTAACGAAGCAGAATGGTGGACCAGAATTTGCGCAGTTAGCCCCAATTAGTTGGAAAAAGGCTTGGACAATGATAATAATAATGTAAGAGTTTTAGACACTAGAACTCCATCTTCCAAACTTGATCTAAAGGTGAGCCTTAATTTAATTCTTTTAAGGTTTAAGGGGTTATATAAAACACGCCCTTGCTTAAAAGATAAAGGATTTTCTCATCACCCAGAGAGAAATGTATTAGTGTCACCCAATGAGGTGAACCATCCATACGTTAAACACGGATTCAATTGGTGATTCTGTTATTCTCCAAAAAAAAAAATGAATAAAACAAGATCGACAAACAACTTACTTGGATCTGTCCTTAAATCACACGAGGGACTTAAGGTTCTATACCAAAACCTATAGACCAAGTCATCCGATGACAGGCTACCTTAAGAGTCCACTTGGTGAATCTCTTTCACCAATTTTTCATCCTTATCTTTTGTTACTTGAGGGGTTAACCTCTTTTTATAAAGAACCATATTTTGTAACTCTCACATTCATGGTTTATAAGAGTTGACATCCAAGTATAACTCCTGCCTTAATTTCCGTAAGTGCAGCCAATTAAGATTAACAAGTTGTCACCAAACTTTTAATCATATGCAATGAGTTAAACATGTCATTAGGGCACTAATGATTCTCATAATAGGATGTCATCCAAGTATTCCTACAACTTGATAAAAGATATTTTGAAATTAAATAATTTTGTACATCTATAATGTAAAAAAAATCTTATAAAGAATCCAAATACATCACTGGGCTTTCCCTCCAATGCAACATCCTATAAAAGTTCCAAAATAGATCCTAGTATATGCATTGCCTCATATCAACAACATGAGATTTCACATATACTATACAATATAGCTTTCGTACCATTATTGAAAAATAAATTCATGGGATAAAGGGGTCTGATAGGCCATATTTCCAACATCTCCCATTTAGCCTGAAGACCCTTTTAACTTCTTGTACATGGCATTGCCTCATGCTTTCCACATGGGATTTCCATATACCCAGCCTGAAGGCTCTTTGACATCTTGCATATGGCATTGCCTCATGTTTTCCATATATACATCCACCAATATGATTTTATGAACCATTATTGGATTTCCATTTGGATTTATCTTAGTCCAATAGCTGCTACATGTTTCTCGAAAATTTTTCGGCTCAAAGCCTTACTTAATGGATCT